TTTATTTTTGGTGACAATCAACAATTATCTGAAATGTGTTGTTTATTTCAAAAAAAAAAAAAAAATCTATAGTCTATTTTTCTTTATTCTAATAATAAATAAAAATAATTCAACTATCGTTAATGTTTATCTTCTTGATAAAGATTTATATTTATAAAATTATCTTTATCATAAATAAAAATACAAAATTTTTTTTTTTATCATCCAAATTTTTCTATTTTTCACTAAACTCATCGGTTAGATAAATGGCAATTGGAAAGCAGAGTGAGCCACACTTTTCCATTCCCTTTCAACCTATTTCCAAACTATCTTTATTTGACCACTTTATAGCATTATGCTCTATCAGCACTTGAACTATTAAACCAAATAACAATTTTTATAAGTTTGTCTTTTCTTTGACCCTGAATATATAACTTTGAATCTCTAATTTCGATTTGAATATTCAGTCTTTAATTTCAATTTGAATATCATTTTTATTTACACCAACTAATTCAATTCCAATAATAAATGAATTTGTTTGGACTACGTCAAGAACTGGAACAAAACCTAAATTGGTGGTTTCATTAAAACCATTATTTATTTGGTGACTCAATAAATTTTCAAAAATTGTATATATATTTATAAATGAGATAATGATATTTTATTTTTTTTTATAATTTTTGTTTTAAGTTCTAAATGCAATTTTAGTTTTTCTAAATAGTATTTATAAGAATTCATTTTAAAATGAAATTTCTCAAAATTAAAAAAAAAAAAAAAAAAAAAAAAAATTTTATTTTTTTAATTAAAATTTTTTTAATTTTTAAATAATTTCCTCAAAAATTTCATTTAAAATTATTTTTAATTTTAAAAAAAACTGATCAAAAAATAAATATGTAATCACCGTTTATTTAAAGAATTTTAATAAAAGAATGGGCTTTAATTTAAATATTATCATAAAAAAAAAATTATAAATTAAAATTTTTTATTAATTTTATTCATTCATTCAACAAATAAACAAATAAACAAATAAATAAATATTCATTTAAATTTTTAAGAAGTAAATTCTAATATATTAATAAAAATTAATAATAAAATAAAATGGCAACTATTTTTGATATCTTATTAAATCAACATTTAAATAATAATGATTTTAAATCATTTCAAATAAAAAAAGAAATAATCAATTTTATACCAGAATCAGATGTTATTGAAACTAAAGATTCATTTATTATTGAAACTGAATTAGCAGGTGTAAATAAAGATGATATTCAAATTGAAATTAAAGATTCAAAGCTATATATTCAAGGCGAAAAGAAAAGATCAACTTATAAAAATAACATTGTTGTAACCGCCAACACCACCACTGCCACTACACAAACCGATAACGAACCATCTATTGAAGAATTTGAAGATATTAGCACCTCTGATACTGCCAACACTACCTCCACTAGTTTACAGTCATCAAATAAAGAAAGCAAATCTGAATCAAGTACTACCAATACTGCCACCACTGACGCTACTAAAGATCAAGTTAGAAAATATATAAGCGAAAGATCATATGGAAAATTCAAAAAATATTTAGATTTAACCAGAATAATATATACATTAGATTTATCAACTATCAAAACACAATACAACAACGGTCTTTTAACAATAACCATAAACAAGAAAAAAGATTATTCAAATACATTTAAAATTTATTTATCATAAAGAGATAAATAAAAAATAAATAAAAACTTTTGTAAAATTAAAATTTTCTATCTTGGATAAAATGAGGTTTTATCGAAAAAATTAAACCAGTTTTGTTATATTAAAATAGAACATTGAATGGTGAGTGCATCTAAATCTAATCTATTCCCATAGTAGCGAAGACATATGCACATCACCAAAAAAAAAAAGATTTTTATTTTGTTTTGTCCCTTTTTTGTTTTTTTATGAAACAATAAATAAAAAAAAAAAAAAAAGATAAAAAAAAAATGGTTATTTTAGGGAATTTTGATATATTACTTAAGATATGTAATAACCAAAGGAAATGCAATATTTATATTATTTTTAAAATAAATAAAAAAAGAAAAAATAAATTTAAAAAAATAAAAATAAAAAATAAAAAAAATTTATAAAAAAAAAATTTTAAAAAAAACGAAAAAAGTTTTTTTTTTTTTTTTTTTTTTTTTCTTTAACGAGTTTTTAAACAAAATCATAATCTATATTTTTCATTTGTAAAAAGTATCTCTATAGTAAAAAGAGTTAGATTTAAAAATGTCAGTCACTACATATGATAAAGATAGAGAATTATTTGCACGTGTTGGCAAAGACAACAGAATCGAAGTTTATAATTCATTCAACGGTAAACTTTTACATAGTTTCACAGAAGTAGAAGAAACTGAAAACGAATATACTTTATTAGCTTTTTCAAGCCATAATAAAACAGAATCTGTAATTATCATAAAATACAATATCATCAATCATTGAAAAATAAATAACATTATATTAATATAGATAATTATAATAACAATAATAATTTTTATAGAAAGAAAATTTAAAAAATTTAGTTGCAGTTTCAAGTTCAGGTACATGTTATTTATATGATGTTATTGATTTTAAAAAGAAGGGCGTATTTTCAACACATTCAAAAACCATTACTGCAGTAGTTTTAGGTAAAAAGTATCTTTTCACTGCAGATACACAAGGTAAAGTTTATCAATGGGATTGCTCAAGCAAGAAGAGTATTAGAAATTTACAAGCCTCAGAAAAGATGGTTTCAAGTATGACATTAAATAATAAAGAAACTCAATTAATTTTAGCAAATAATGGTATTCAAATTGTTGATCTCTCCAACTTTAGAGACAGCAAAAAGATTTCAAATATTGGTTCACAAAACATCAAAGAGATTACATTCACTCAAGATGATAAATATTTAGTTCTTCACAAAAAAGATAGTTTAGTTTCAATCTATGCCATGGACAAACTCACAGCAAATGATTCTACAGTTACTTTTACATTAAACGCAAATGGTCCAGTCCAATCACTTTCAGTTTTCACACACGATATTAAACGTTCCAATAAAAACATCACCCAATATCTTATTTCTGCACTCTTAGAATCTTCACAAGTTAATATTTTTGCTTACTATCAAGATGAACAATATAATAAAGGTGCCGAATCACCAGTCTCTGAAATCAATCCAAACTCCCAAAATATTTATTCAATGAATTTAATTAGTACAACCGAATTAGTTTTATCAATTTTCGAAAAAGAGAAATATCATTTTGAAAGAGTTGTAAGTATTTTCTTTATTTTATTTTCACTTTATTTTTTAAATTAATTATTTATTAATCTAATTTTTAAAATATTTAGAAATTCTTTGATAAAAATATTTTCATTAAATCAATTACATTAGAAAGATCAAGCGAATTTGATAAAGCTTCAAGTACAAATAAAAAACAAAAAATTTCAAATGACAGTGTTGCAATTTCAGGAAATGCTGTAGAAATGAAACAAGAAAAAATTAATTTACCAAATATAAAGAAAAATAATGATTCAATAGCTAGTGCTGGTACTATTGTCGATTTGATCACCCAATCATTAAAAGCAGATAATGATAATCTCTTATTATCATCAATTAAAGTTAATTTCTCTGTAATCCAAAGCACCGTTAAATCACTTCCATCACCATACGCATATAGTCTTTTAGTTAAATTATTAAAATATTTAGCAACTGATAATTCAAAATCGTAAGTTATCATTACATATTCACACTATATTTTTTAGTTTTATTAGTATGATACTAATATACGTTTATTTTTTATAGATTAATTGTATTACCATGGATCAATTGTATTATCAAAGATCATTCAGGATATTTATTATCAGTTCCAAACCTTTCAAAAAAATTATCAGTTTTAAATTCAATTGTTCAAGATAAATTTGATTTACATAATAGATTATCAAAATTAGTTGGTAAATTCGATTTAATTCAAAGTCAAACTAAATCAGTTAATACAGAATCAGTTGAATACGACCCAACTCTTGTTTATGACGAAGCAAGTGACAACGAAGATGCCAATCAAGACGAAGATGGTGATATGACCGATGACAATGAAGATTCTGATTCCGACGAATTTGATGGTATGGGTGGTGATGACGACGAAGATGATGGTTTAGACGAAGATATTGAAGATTTAATGGATGATGATGATTTATAAAAAAATAATCATTTTAAAATTAAAAAAAAAGCATTAAAAAAAAAATAAAAAAATAAAAGAGACCAAAAAAAAACTAAATAAAAAATTTTTTATATAAAAAAAAAACATAAAATAATAATATAATATCAACAACAACAACAACAACAAATTCCTACATTAACTCTTTATATCTACCAGGGTTTTATTTTTTATTATTATTTTGATTTAATTTTTGTGTATGTATGCATTAATACTAAACAGTGACACATGTGACTTGTGTGTATATCATAATCATGTGTTAAGTTATTTACAAAATTATTTCAAAGGTATTGAATTAAAGTTTTTGTATATATAGTTATTTCTATATTTATTTTTTATTTTTTTAATAATTATGTTGATATGTTGTAATTTAAATTTACCCTATTTTTAAATTACTATAATTGTTGTATGACGAAAAATATTATTTAAAATATATAGGGTCAATAGAATCTATTGAAAAATAAAATAAAAAAAATTAATATTATTATATAATGTCTCGACTTTAAAAATATTGGTTCTTAATAGTTTATTTAAAGAAGTGTTTAATTTAAAGAATGTGTTAAAGAGAAAACATATATTTGTTTTTTTGCTTTACAGGATATTACCATATAAAAATAGCTTTTTTAAAAAATTAAGTTATCTTTAACGACAAGGGTGTTCATATCTTAACACAACTATATAACAATAACTTTATATATAAGGTTACATATCAAATATATTGTTTAAAAGTAATTATAAAAATAATTAATATGAATAAAAAAAAACTTTATTTTTTTTTCCTGTATTGATTTTTAAATAGTGGGGTTAAAAAAGATAATTTAATTTTTTTTGATAATGTTATCATTTCTTAAAATCATTCTAGATTTTAATAGATATGATTCTAATGATAACAATATTAAAAATTATTTTTATTTATTTAATTATTTTTTAAAAAAAAAGAAAGAAGGAATAACCAATTTAACAATCAATTAACTCTTTGAGTTTTTATAAAAAAAATAAAAACTATAAATTAAAAAAAAAATATTTAAATTATATTATCAATTAAAACTTAAAGCTTATAATATAAACAAAATATAAAAAATAAAATGTTATTAAGTAAGTATTTATATTTAATTACACATTCTTAAAATAATTAATATTAATTTTTTTTTTAATCATATTCTAGAATCATTAATCAAAATTAATTTTAAAACTACATTAGAAAATAATATTATTTCCATCAATAAAAATGAAAATCAAAATGAGAATAGTTATAATAGAAATATCTGCAGTAACCATTTAGTTACTACTAAATTAATGACAAGACCATTTTTATGCTACAGCTAAGATATTGTTTTTAAAAACTTATACTAAACAGCTTTTTGTATAAAAAAAAGAAATATTTATTTATTTATTCAATATTAAAAAAAAATTGTAAATAGGAAAAAATAAAATAAAATAAAATAAAATTTATTTGTAAATAGTTTAAATTAACAAAAATCCATTGCTTAATGATGATATATGATCATAAGTGTTTTTTAATTATTTTTTTTACTAAATTGGGAATAATTGTAAAATAAGCACACATTTAATTAATTAATTAATAAGAAATTATGGGGTGGGGTAAAAAAAATATGAAATAAAAAATGGAGGGTGGGAATGAATACCATTTTTTGATAATAGATATATGATTCTATATGAATTTAGATTGAATCATTTACAATTATATATTTAATATTGAGATATTTAATAACGATAGAGTATAGGTAGAAGAATTAAAATGAAATAAAATTTAAAATGGTTGGTGTAATTTTATTTTTTTTATTTTTTTACAAATACATTATTTATTTACATATTTATTAATTATTATTATTATTATTATTACCATTATATTATTTTATTTAATTTTTTTCATTAATTTTTAAAATATTTTTTGGTATGTCGTAACTGATTAAAGTTTTATCAAAATCTTTAATTAAATAAAGCTCTGCAATGTTTTGTGGTAATACATCCAATGTAATTTGTTGTTTAAAACTACGACCTAATTTTAGTGACATAAGACCATTTGGTAAATTGGCTAAAGGTATATTATATGATCTACCGAGATCCAAGTAGAATACACTGTCTGGTATTGAACCAAAGATGAATGGTTTGTTATAGGCATCACCAAATTCGAGAATACCTAGAGAGCTTGGTAAACAGCCTGGCTGAATGGTTTGATTGAAGCCATTACCAAATACTAACATACCAATGGATGGACCAATAGTTGATGGTGCTAATGGTTGGTTAAAAGAGTCACCAAGTGTAAGAGTAGTGACACCATCAGGAATAGAGTTCTCTAATAATGGCTGGTTGAATTGTTTACCAAAATTAAGAGTACGAACTGATGAAGGTATTGATTTCGAATCGACAAGTGGACATTTTAAAAGTGATGAGCAGTCAATAGTAAGAGTTTGTACATTTTCTGGTATATCACCTGGAGCTAATGTACGTCCTGTTACTTCGCCCAAATTTAAATCTGTGACTGATGCTGGAATTTTTCCTGGTAAGTGTTCACTATTACATTTTGCCAATACCAATGTTTCAAGGTTTTGTGGTAAGGCAATACGATTTAATGGGGTGTTAAAATAGTTGCCAAATATAAGAGTTTTTAATGACTTTGGTAAAATGTTGGGTCCAATTGATAATTGCGAAAAATCATCACCAAACTTTAAATATGTAACTGACTCTGGAATGCTTCCCACTTCGAGAACCTGATTGAATCTACGTCCAAATGTAATCGACTTGGTAGTGTCTGGGATGAAACCCTTTACTAGCTTTTTATTAAATAGATCTGTAAAGATAATGGTGCTGCTTTGACTGGGGATAGAGTTCAATGAAAAATGTCTAAATATCTGGAATCTGATCTCTTCGATTCTCCATGCTTTATAAAAAATTTGATCATTGGTATCTTTTGTAAATCTGCTGCTATTGTCCAATAAAAAGAATTTATCGATTACAACATTATTTAATATAATTTCTTCTTCTTCGATATAGTTGACATTTTGTAATGATTTACTATTTGGGCTATTTGTTAAATTTTTTAAATCTTTATTACTTTTATTTATATCTGATGATGATCTATTGATATTTTTGGTTTTATTATTGTTATTGTTGTTACTGCTGTTGTTGCTTATATTACTATCTTTATCTTTTTCTTTTTCTTCACCATCTTTTTTCTTTTTAAAAATTTTACCTAACAATCCCATCTTTTTTTTTTGTTTTTTCTGATTATAAATTTATTATTGAAATATAAATAAAATTAATATTTAAAATGAAAATAAAATACAAAATAGATAATTGTTTTTAAAAAAAAAGTAAAAATTATAAACAGTGTTATTTTTAAAAAAAATTTAAAAAAAATAAAAAAAAAAATAATAAATTAAAATAGTTTTTTTTTATATTTCTAAAACCGAAATAATTTTTGTTTTTTTTTTTTTTTTTTTTTCGATCATCTAGATTAAATGAATAAAATAATAAAATTAAATTAAATTTCATAAAATATAATTTATTTAAACAAAATAATAATAAACTTGTACTTTTTTCATAAAAATATAAAAAATAAAAAAGTGTGAACAACCGCTAAATTTTTAAAATAATTAATTTAAATTTTATTAGAATTAAAATTATATAAAAATATTAATAACAAATGAAATAATTGTAATAAATAGTTGTATTTAAATTTGTACACCATAGTTCATGAAAGAGTTTGAACTTGTCATACTACTAATGGCTCTACATTGATTTCTTATACTTTTTGACAAAGATATTATTTTTTTGGTTGTGATTTGAGAGGATTGAACACACCTAAAATTAATAATAAATAATTTAATTAGTAAAACATATAATTAAAATTATATTAATAGTTTTCTTTATACTTTACTTTACAGCTACTTCTTTTGATAACCAATTCATATTTTTTGAGAAAACTTCCAATGATATTAAAAATTCAGGTGTTAAAATTAATGATTGATATGGTTTATATGGTTCCTCTTCTTCTTGCTCTTCCTCTAATAGTATTGATATGTTTTCATTTAAATTTTCATATTCATTTTTCATTTTTTGAGGTGAGTTTAGTGAAAATTCAGAAGGAAATACAGCTTCTAATTCATCATTACCGTCAAAATTACCTGTATAAAATGGAGAATTCATAACTTCATTTAATAGAATCCACTCTTCCTCTTCTTCAAAACCATCACAATTTATTGAATTGGTTGAGGGTGATTTGTTTAAAAACTCGAATTGCTCTTCCATATTATATTTATATAATTATATATTTAATATAAGTACAGTTTTTTTTTTAATATATTATAATTTAATATTATTAAATAAAAAAAATTGAAAAAAGTATTATTTAAAATTTTAATATTGAAATTTAAATTATTAAATAATTAAATTTTAAATTTTAAATTTAATAATTTTTTTTTTATCTTGTTTAATAATGGATATTTTTTTCATATAAATCGTTTTTTCCCAAAATGTAAAGTGAATAAAAATAAAAGTTATTAAATAATATACCCCTAATAAAAATAAAAATTAAAATAAAATAAAAAACCCACCCTTGGCATATTAGACCTCTTAACTTTTTAAAAAAAAAAATAAATTCACACATACACACACACAAATAAGAGTAATAATTTTTTTAGATTTGAACAAAGTGTACAAACACCACATGGATAAAATTTAATTTTATTTTAAAATTTTATTATCATATTGCTGTTTTTTTTTATGATAATAAAAATTAAATATGAAATTAAAATTATTATATTATTTTTAATATTATTATTATTATTATTATTATAATTATTATTATTATTTATATTAACTATTGATCGATACAATTATATTTTACAAGGGATTCAATAGAGTCTTCTAAATATTTTACTATATCTGACCAATCTACGAAATGGTTTACTTTGGTAAACTCTTGAGCTTTGTTTGTGGTTGTTGAAAGATATTGTTGAACCTCTTTACAAAAGAATGTATATTCGTATAGTTGGGTCTGGTGAGTCGATGCTAAATGTTGTTGGTATAGTAATTTTAAAGTTTCTTCATTTAGATATATTGAAGTGAATTCAGTAATGGTTGCGGTGATTTTAGCTGATAACTGTTTAACTCTTTTAGGTGATGAACCTCTTAGAGCAGATAAATCACTAATCTTTGATCTGTTTGGTGGTGATTTAACTATACTTTGCCACTCCTTTTTAACTCGTGAAAATGATTCTACTCCTCTTATTTTTAATTCTAGATCCAATAATTGATTCATAAATCCATTATTCGGTCTAATTTCAGGTCTCTTAAATTGAACTGAATAAAAAGTTTGCTCTAATGATAAAAAACCATGCTTCAAAATAAATCCCAATACTAATGATACACTTCTACTTTTACCCGCTAAACAATGTACTAAAACTCTCGAGTCCCTTTGAGAGCTTGCTTTTTCTATAAACCAAAATACCTTATCTATCTTTTCTGTTATATCTACATCTTCCTCATCTTCAAAATGCTCTACCTTATAAACATAGATTAATATTATATGACATATAAAAATCATAATAATAAAATAAATAGTAAGATAACTACCGCAATTTTATATCTCTCTGGGGATGCTACTGAACCTGCACAACTAACTATATGGGTAATACCTAATTTTTCCATACGTTGTAAATCTTTGGTATCTCTATTCATATTCGATTAGTTTATATTCTTTTTTTTTATTTTTTTTTATACAAATTTATTTTTACCCTACCTTGCTGCCCCCACATTGGGAAATCCTTCAATAATTTCTGAAATTGCCATTTTGGTTTTATTACAAACTATTTTAAAAAACAAAAAATATAATCATTTAACATTTTTTTTTTAAAATTAAAAATGATAAAAAAACAAGAAAAAAAAAAAAATAAAATAAAAAAAAAAAAAATAAAAAAAAAAAATTTTATTTATAAATTAGATATAAATGTATATATATTATGGTTTTAATATTTGTTGCAACTAATTATTTGGCTTCAAAACAAAATAAAAATAAAAAAATAAAAAATAAAAAATAAAAAAAGATATTATTTTTTTTTTTCATTGCCAATATTGAAATCGAATTTTTACGAATATTTTTTCCTGTTTTATTTGTAAATTACTTTTTTTATTTATTTCTGTATTTGATATTATTATTGTAATTTTATATATAATATATTACATATATATAATAATTATCTTTTTATCTAAACCCATAGATTAAATTAAAAAAATAAAAAATTAAATAAAAAATAAAAAAAAAATAAATAAATAAATTTTTTTTTTTTATTTTTCCAAAATTTTTTTTTTTTGTTTTTTTTTTTTGAAATTTTTTCATTGCCCTTAATTCGACACCGCAATTTTTTTTTTTTTCTTCTTCGTTCTATAAATATTTCACACAAATAATAGATATCTATTATACTAAATAATTAAAATAAAGAAAAGTTGTAATAATTAATAAAATTACTTTCATGACATTACCTTAAATATTTTTTACTAAAAAAAAATGATAAACTTAGTAGATAATATTGAGGATAATAGTATTAGAAGCTACTATGATATTCCAGAAGAAGAAATAGATATTGTACTTTCAGACTCAAGTAATACAAGGTTAATGACTAATATCATAGATCAGCATTTCGAAGAAAGTATAGAAGATATCATTGGTTTTGTAAATTAAAAGAAAAAAAAATGAGAAAAGGAAAAAACAATAATACCAAAGATAATAAAAATATAAATAATAATATAAATAATATTATAAATCATAATATAGATAATAGTATAAATAATATTATAAATAATAATATAAATAATATCCATAATATAGATAATGCAGATAATATAGATAATATAAATAATATAAATAATATAAATAATAAAAATAATAAAAATAATAAAAATAATTACACAAGCAATAAAAATAATAGAAATAATAAAAATAAATCAAAAAATAAAAATTCAGATGTAGACAAAATTGAAGAAAGTAATGGCGAAGATGACGAACATGATATAGAACAGAGCCCTAAAATTAAAAAAACACCAACAAAAGTATCACCTGTCAAAAACAATAGGGGTCGTAAATCAACCAAATGGAATCCACAAGAAGATGAAGTTCTTATTAAATTAATTGAAGAGAATGGAACAAAAGATTGGTCAATTATAGCAGAAGGATTAAATACAGGAAAAGATAGGAATGATTGTCGTTTTAGATGGCACAAATGTTTAAAGAAAAGAGTAGATTTAAGCTCAAAAGCACTAATAGTAGCGGCTGCTGTTAAAAAGATCAACTATTGGCGTCCTGAGGAGGATGACCGTTTAAAGGAAATAATTGAGGAATATGGCACAAAGAATTGGACTCTAATCTCTGAAAAGATGGAAGGAAGAACGAAAAAAGAAATTTATAACCGATGGTCTCATTGTATTAAAGATAATATTGTACATGTTGGTATTACTCATGGGAAACATTGGACTGCAGAAGAAGATGCGCTTCTTCTAAAACTCGTAAATGAATTTGGTGCAAAAGATTGGAATAAAATAGCAGAGTATATCCCAGGACGTGATAAAAACCAAGTTAATGGTCGTTGGCATAGTTATTTAAAAATAAAAACAGGCTCTCCATTGGCCCCTAGAAAAATTCCTCGTAAAGTTTGGACCGCCGAAGAAGGTAAATATAATTTTAATCTCTCTCCTTATACCATATTGTAATTACTAATAGTTGCTTTAATATACAGATGAAGAGTTAACAAATTTAGTTCATTTATCAAGTTGGGGTAAAAATTGGGTGATCATTTCAGAAAAAATGAATGAAAAATTCAATACAGAAACAAGTAAAGAAGCATGCTCAAGACGTTGGAATACTCACTTAAAATCTAAAGTAGAACAATTAGATTCAGACCATTGTATTCCATATATGTCAGACTCTGATTCAAATGATGGTATATTTTGATTCACAATAATATAGAATTAATAATAATAATAATAATAATAACAATAACATATAAAATTACATGTATATATAAATATTTTTTTCCAGTTCAATATTTAGTTTAAACTACCATTTTTTTTAGGGTAGTATTTTTATAATGAGCCAAAACTCATTATTTATTTTATATATTAGAAATAATTTAAATAAAATTTATAATTTATAATAATATATCAAAAAAAAAAACTAAACCTAATTTATTTGTTTATTTTACTTTTATTTATATTTATTTTAATTTAGTCCCATGAAAAACCTGATGATTGATTGGATAATTGAGAAACAATATTAACCTTTGGTTTATCATTTGTTTTGATAATGTCCAAAGTAAAGTTATTGCCTTCCATTAATTGTTTGTTTGAAATGCCTGGTCTAACAATACCAGCTGGTTTTTTCTTTGGTGGGGCAACAGGACAATCTTCACTATCAAAGCCGAAAATTTTATCTGTAATACTACTTTCCTTTGGTGTTTCGGATGATTTTTTGGGTGGAGCTGGTTTTGATACTTTTGCTTTAACTTTTTCATTTCCATTACCATCTTTGTTTGGTGCTGGTTTTGATTTTTTAACAACTGGTTTCTCCTTTTCTTCATTTTTATTATTATTTTGTTTTTTATTATTTTTAGCTGTTGATTCTTTTGGTTGCGGTTTCTTTTTATTATTGTTTTTATTATTATCATTGTTTGCTGATGATGGTAATAATTTAGATAATGGAACTGGATTATCACCTACAACTTTAATATCATCATCCGAATCATTATTATCATTGCTTGCTGATGAATTATTATTGGCACCATAAAATTCCATAAGTGAAAAACCTTTTGGTGCTGCTGGTTTGGTGGCTGGGGTTGGAGTTGGAGTTGGAGTTGGAGTTGATGTGGTTGCAGTGTTTAATGTTTCGGTTTCTGTACGTTGTTTCTTTATAGCTTGAACTGATTTACCTTTTGAATTTTTCATTCTAACTAAAAATTTGAAATCTTTTGGTTTTTCAGTTGATAGTTCTTCTGGAGCATCATCATCTTGTTCGTGTTCGTCATTATTAGTATTATTATTATATTGTTCTGGAGTATATTTTCTTTTATTATCAGATTTATTTCTTTGTGGTCTTTCTCCTTGTTCACCATCTTGATTATCTTCTCTATTTTTATTGAATGGTTTTCTTTCGAATGGTTTCTTTTGTTTTCTATCAAATTGCTGTTGTTCTCCATCTTGATTATCCTCTCTATTTTTATTGAATGGTTTCTTCTCGAATGGTTTTCTTTCACTATCTTGATTATCTTCTCTATTTTTTGTTAAATGGTTTCTTTTCGAATGGTTTCTTTTCGAATGGTTTCTTCTTTTCAAATTGCTTTTTATTACCGCTAGCTTCTTCATTAGTGTCATCACCATTCTCTCTTTTAATAATTTTTCTTTCTTTATCTTTTTCAATTGATTCTTTTTTGACTTTATTTTCTTTCTTTTTATTATTTCTATTTACAGATCTTTCAGAGAATGGTCTACCATCTAATAAATCTAAAGTTGGGAATAACTCTTTCATTTTTTCTTTATAATCTGGTAAACTTGCAATTGGATTACCAATTAAATTTAAATGTTTTAAATTCTTTAATTTTGTAATGACTTCAATATCTTTATAATCTTTTAATAAATTATGTGCTAAATCTAAAATATATAAACTGTGACAATTTGAAAATTTTTCATCAATTGAAAAAATTTTATTATTTGATAATTTAATTTCTTTTAACTTTATTTATAATAATATAATATAACATGTTAATATAAAAATAATATATTAATAATATAAAGTATTAAAATTTAAATAATATACATACTAAAATATTTTGACTTAAATCAGGTAAATGTTTGATATTATTATTTGTTAATGATAGTTTTGTTAATTCTTTAAGGAATTTTAAACCGGATATATCTTCTATTTGATTTTTTGATAAAACTAAAGTATTTAATTTTGGAACAAATTCCATGTTTTCAATTTTTAAAATTTCATTATTATTTAAAACCAATGCTCTTAAATCTGATAATTTCATTAAACCTTCGATTCTTTTTAAATTATTATATGAAATATTTAAAACTAATAAAAAAAAAAATGAAAAAATTAATATTAGTAAAAATTTTATATAATAAAAAACTAATATGGTAGTACCTTTCATTTTTGATAAGGTTTTAACATCGATCATTCTTTCTAATTTATTTTTTGATAGATTAATCCATTCTAATGATAAGTTTTCTTTTAAACCATTGATTGAAGTAATTTGATTATTGGACACATCGAGTTTCTTTAAATCTATGCAACTACTTAAATCTTCAATAGCTTGAATACTTTTATTTGCTAAATTAAGAGACTCTGCAGTTGTAATCCCTCCGACTAATTCTGCTAAATTTGAATTATTGATTATCATTTTTAGGTATTGTGTGCTATTTTCGATATAAAATAAAAATAGTTTAAATAAATAAATAAAAAAAAAAAAAAATTAAAAAAACGAAAAAAAAAAAAAACAAAACCATAGCAAACTATTTTTTTTTATTTTTTTTTTATTTTTTTTTTTTTATTTTTTTTTTTTAATTTAATTTAATTTTAAAAAATTAATTTTTTTAAAATATTTTTTATTTTTCAGATATTCAAATGTGGTGGCTAAATCATAAAGTTTTTAAAATAAGTTTTTTTAGTATTTAAAATCTGGACATTGGGTTCATTAATATAAAACTTTACAGTGAAGTCGATTCTCAATACAATCGTCCTTTTGTTGGTATATTGATTCAATTAACCAAGAACACCCATGTACCGATGATACAACATTAACAAATAATTCTAAGAGATTTAAAGACTTTAAATACAATACATGTGTTTGTATTTTACCAACACTAAACGTTGGTAAAGGTGTCTTCAAATTCCTCCATAATGATTTAGTTACTATTTACGATATTCAAATTAAAATAAATAAAATCCATTTTATATGCATTTAAAAAAAAAAAATTTTATTTTTTTATTCATCGAACAATTTTTCGTTTTCAATATAAATTTTAAATGCCACTTCTTCTTTATGTACTTCATAATCAAACCATTCCTTTAAATGACTGATTTTGGATTGTTCTTCATTGGTAAAACCATCGTAACAATTATATCTAGCTCTAAGATTGGGATCTTGGATCTAAAAGAAAAAGAAGTTATTTATTAATAATTATACTTAAAATTAATTTTAAAAAAGTTAAACTTACAACAACTCTATTTATTGTATCAAACTTTAAAAAAAAACAAATACTTAAAAGATCAAGACAATATTTATATTTTAATCTATAAAGGGAGATCTAAAAAAAAAAATTAGAAAAAAATAATTTAAAATATTTAATAAATATATATATACATACTTCATTTTCTTTTTCATCCTCACAAAAATTATCCAAGTTAATTTTTTCTTTGATTGTTAAAACTATATTTTTGTTAAAACCAAAATCTGGTTTAAGAATTTTATGGATTAAAAGATTTAAAATATAATCATATAAATTTGGAGCGAATAAAATGAATCTTGGATCAAGATTAAAATCTTTTGTGAACGACTTTTGTAAAAATTGGATATTGGATTTTTCTGATATTGTTATCGATAATTTTGGTGTGCAAAGGTGTTGATATATATCTCTATTGGTTGCGGTAGCTACTCTTTTTGGTTCATCTAGAATTGGGGCGAAACAATAGTGGTAATCACCTATTGAAGTAACTATGCTCTGAATATTTTTTTTAGTATCAATTGAGTTTGATTCTTTTTCTATTAATAGGTTATTAACAATATTTTGATAACTACTTTGATCACCAATTTGTTTGGTAATAAATAGATTTTCCAAACCGAGATGACTTTCCAACCATTCTTCTGGGGGATGTGCACTTATATATCCATATAATTTTGAATATAACGCATTTAAATTAGATTTATCTAATATTTTACTTTGATGATGTTTTTCATAATTACCATTTGATATTTTTTTTTGAACAATATAAATTTTGTCTATAAAAAAATCAGATAATAATTTATTTTCAAAACATACAGCAGAGCCTCCCCTTAAATTCTATCAGATATATAAAAAATTGAATATTAGTTTATAAATTTATATTTTATTAATATTATACAATATACATACTTGTTTATTCACGTAGTTTGTATCACCAACACAAAATATGTTTTGTGAATATAATTGCTTGGAATGGTCAAAATACCTGATGATATCTTGATTTTTTATTTTTATTGTATCAACAAGTTTAAATAAATAATCATTTATAGGAATTTGACCTTTTTCAATATCATCATAATGTTGTGTTTGTAAATAATAGTCTTCTTTTTTTAAACCATTTAAATTTTCATAAACATAGTCCCACAATAATATATCTCTGAAAATTGTGTCTTTGTTTGTATGGCTATTTGATAATCTGGTCAATTTTGATATCGAGTTCATTAAATATGATCCAGTTGGTATACCTGCTTGATGAAAAAGATAATCATTTTGAAAAAAATAATTTTGTTGGTTTGTTTTTATATTTCCAAATCGGGGAAGATTTTCTTTTGTATTACAATGAACTAAAAAAAAAGCCTAAAATACTATTAAAATTTTATTTTCTATATAATTAAAATTATTTTACTTACATGGTAAGATAGTTCTACTAATGGAAAAACCGACTCTGTACTTTGGACCTCATTTAACTTTAGTTTTCTTTCAAATTCGGTGTGTGGAGTGTTATACCAGTCAATATAATTTTTTCTAAATTCCATATATTTTCTTGGATGATAATTTAAATCAACTGTTGAAGAATACATATCTTTTACCCTTTGATCAAATACTTTAAAATCATGAAATTTATATTCAAAATAAGACCCATATTTTGCAAGAGAGTAACCAATTTTAAGAAAATTAACTGTTACAATACCAGCATTGATTCTAGTTAAGAAATGATACATATCATTTTTATAATTTAATGGATCCATTGTATAGCAATATGCAGTTTGTGCTTGTGAAAATTTAATATCGCTCTTTTTACCTTCTTTGTTTGTTCTTACAAATGGATCTTCTAAATAGTTAACTCTGTTATTTACATCTTTAAATTGAGGAAAATTTGGCAATGTATGAATAACATGAATTCCACCTAAATAATAAAAATATTAAAAAGTTAATTATTTTACTTATATAATTATGTATACAAATTTTTATTTACCATATTTATTCCTAAATAAATGTAATATTAATTAATAGTTAATAAATATATTTATTTGTGTATTTATATTATTGACAATTTACCAAATAAAAAATCCTTTTGCGTGGGCTTTATAAAGAAAATTAAAAATTTTATTTTTAGTTAAAATTAAAATATAAATATAATTGTATTAATATTTTATAATAAATATACATACCTCCTTCTATATTTTTATATTCTGAATTATCATTATAAACAACATGAGATAATATTTTACTCTTGAGTAAATTATAGGTGTTTAATAGGGCAGATGGATTTAAAGATAATTTTGTAAATAATTTAATATTTCCATATTCTTCTATTTGTTTGAGGGAGTTGTCCCAATAGAAATGATTTCCATCAGCTGTTGTTTGATAAATATACCAGCTTGATACAGGTTTCCCATAGCCAATACAGGATGGAGAATCCACACATGTAATTTCTAAGTCAAATTTTGATACTTCAGAAAACTTTTGAACTCTATTAGGGCTACAATAAAAATCACCTACTAAAGTTGGTCTATTTCCACAGTTATTATTTTTATAAAAATTAACAGTAAACAAACTTTTTTCTTGATCTTTGATATCTATTGAGTAACTATATGTTACTGGAGATTCTGGGTCACCACATATACTTTCTTTACATTCACCACTTTCTAAACTAAATTCACACTTATTGAAGATATCGGAAATATAAAAATCATTTCTAGTATAAACTGAGTATCCAAAACTAATACAGTGTAATAAAATTATTATAAATATTATTATTATTTTTTTCATTTTTAATAAAATTTTAAATTTATAAAAAAATAAAAAGTATTAGTATAAGAAAAAAAAAATTGTGAGTAAAAAAAAAAAAAAATAATGGTGTAAAATAATAAATAAAAATATTTTTTTCTTCGTCAAAGAGAACGAGAAGAAAAAACTAATACGAGTCATAATAATAAAATGAGATTTCAATCTCGTATTTTAACAACACTCGTTTTTTTTTAAAAAACTTTTAAAATCATTTGAATTATTTGAATGATTTCAATTTTTTTTATTTTTTTGGAAAGATGGTGCTATAGTTTTTATTTTTTCTTTATTTTCAAAGCGATTAGAACTTGAAAAAAAAATATTTTTTTTTTTTTGATAGAAAATTATTTTAAATGCAACTAAAAAAATTGTTTTTTTTTTGTCAATTTTTTATAAACATGTTAAAAATAAATATTATTATATTTTTATTTCTTTTATTATTTAAAACAACCTTGTCAAATGTTTCAATTAATAAAAGTTTATATTCAAACAGTCCTTTTTTAATTGAAAGTTTGGAATCTTTAAATAATTTAAATATTACCAATACCAAAATTTTATTTAAAGAAAATAAAAAAAATTGTAAGTTTTAAAAAATTTATAAATAATTATTTTATTTTTTATTATTTATAAAAAAAAAAATAAATAAATCTTTATCCATATTTATTTTTATAAAAAATTTAATGATATTATTTATTTCCCAAAATTTTTTTTTTTTTTTCATTTTTATTTTATTTTTTGGCATTAATTTTTACTTTTTTCATTTTTTATAGATAATGCAAATTCAACAAACACCCATTCTAAATATTTACCTCAAAATGATTTTCATATCGTTTATGAATTAGATATCGATGAAAGTGGCATTTACAATACAGATAGATTTCAACTTGAAGTGTTATCAAAAAATGCTAGTATCGCATATCAAGATTCAAAAAATAAAATAACCTTTTTTTATGAAAACTCTGATGTTTTGTATAATGAAGTGCTTCAAACAAACCAAAACATAGGCAATTCATCACTTCCAATCATCTTTAAAATCTTTCAACAAATAGTAAGTGAAGTTAATCCTCTTTTACAATCAATCGAAATCAAACCGATTGGCCCAGTCAACGTATACGTTAACGACTATGACAAATACGTTTCAATATATGGCTTTGATGAAATTTTAATCAAGTATTCAGAATATAGAGACAATATAAATCTTTACGACTCTATTTCTAATGTTTTTAGTTACATGGTACTGGAGAAGTTTGACTCGCCACTTTACAACCAATTTCAATCTCAAATATTCAAAGAAATCAATTATAGAACCAACAATAAGGATATCAATTTAGAATCATTTTCATTTTTAAAAGGATTCAAAATCTTTTTAAATACTATTATTAAAAAGGTAATTAATAATTAGAAAAAACAATTACATTTAATAATATAAAAACTAATTTAATTTTTCAACTACTATAACTAGGTCTCTTTCCCAAACTTACAATCAGATAAAATTAATTATGTGTTCGATTTCCAATCTGAATCATACATTAATGTTGCCACCAAATTGGGGTAAATTTTTTTATTTTTTTATTTTTTTACCCTTTCATTAAATTTATTAATAAAATCTTTAATTATATTTTTTCAATTTATAGAGTCGACAATTTCAAATTCAAACCAGAATTCTCAGTAGCTTCAATTTTATTTAATTTATTCGAAAATGAAAATAAAAAATCAGAATCATCAGTTGCTTCAAGTTTGAAAAAAATAATTTCACCATTAAAGAATAATAATGTTTATGATATCAAATCGTTTTCAAAAGAATTTAAAAATAATAATTTAGATATCGATTCTTCATTTGAACATATTTTCAATTTAAATAATGCTACGTCAAATCCTCAGCTTCTTAGAGATATGTCAGATCTCGAAGTACAACCTGATGTTCCTTCATTTATACCTAATTGGGAAAACTGTATATTTTATGATCCTACTAATCATAGATATATTGATCTAAATCCTTTAATTTTGTAAGTATTATTATTATTATTATTATTATTATTATTATTATTATTATTATAATTATTATTATTATTATTATTATTATTATTATTATTAATATTATTATTATTAATATTATTGTTATTCACTCTTTATATATCCAAATATTAATTATTCTTAATACTTTAGATCTCGAAGTAATGCATATATAGCTTATGTTCCAGCTGCTAATAACCCAAATAAAAAAGATTTCAAGATTTATTTTAATTTATGCAACAGCGTAAGTATATGTGATCCCATCACATCTTTAGGGGCTTCATATGGTTGTCAAGAATATGAGGGTAAATTATATGAGGTTGCAGGTTACTCCAAAACTCCAGAAGTTACTTACTCTTCAACTGGTATGAGAATTAAACATTATGGCCCAACTTTATCAAATGATTGCTTAAGAACAATGATTTTAGACTTTACTTGCGGTTCAGGTTCATACAGGTATGATAGAGCAGAGGAAAGTCCTGGTTGTCAATATACCATTTATATCATATCTTCATTTGTATGTGGAACACCAGGTTATATCTATAAAGATGGACTTTTTTACAATCTTTCACCATTGGTTTTGTATGTATTGTTTTTTTTTTTTTTATTATTAATCATTTATTAACAATTTTTTTTAGACCCTCAGGTTCAAATGATCCATACAAGGTTAAAGATGAAAGTGGAAGAGAGCTTTACTTTAATATTGGCAATAAATTAGATAAATGTAATGGTTATCAATCTTGTATAACTTCTCAAGCTGGTTCATCTAGTGTGGTTTCTTTAGGAATGCAAGCAATATCGAATGTAGCTACAAACTTTAAAAAAGGTTTAGATATGGTCCACTCGATTGATTCTCAAAGCACATCTGCTCTTGGTTGCTCAAATTCAAATATACAAATTAGTTTTGTTTGTGACTCAACAACCGAAAGAAGATATTCATCAACTATAAATAATTGTAATTTTGCTATTACATTTTATACAAGATATGCATGTATTTCATCTGAATATATAAAAGATCATCAATATTATGATTTTAGTGGTTTATCAAGGTAAAGTATTTTATATTTAATAAAGGTAGGTTTTTAATTGCTAATATAATTTTTTAATTATTATTTAGACCGTCATCTGATGTTTATGTTGCAGATGCACCTGGTTTTAAAATTTATTTTAATTTTGGAGTTGGTGTAGATAAATGTGATATTCTAGGTGCTGGTTCATACCAAGCTTGTCAAGTTTTTCCTAGTGGTGCCACCTATCCGCTCTCCGAATTCAGAATCGGTTATGATGGCTTTGATAACACTGTTGATATAATGAATGTCAATTACTATTCAGGCTATGTACCAGAATGCCCATCAACACGTCCTTTCAGGTAATTAATTTTATATTTATTTGTTTGTTTTAATAAAGTACTAATTGTTTCAATTAAAAATATTTTAGATCAATTCAATATATTTTTGTTTGTGATCCAAATACTTTATTTTTGGTTACAAAAGCCGAAGAACCCAGCACATGTTTCTATTTTGTTACTATTTCTTCTAAATTTGGATGTGATCCTGCTATTTTTTATAGTAGAGATTATAGAAGATATATTAATATGAATGCACTAAAAAGGTAATTTCTATTTTTTATTTTAAAGTATATTATTTACAAATTATATTGATTACTAATACAAATTCACTATATAGCGTCGATTTGGAGGAACAAATTGTTAAAGATTCAGCTTTAACATTTAATGTAGGTTGTTCATAATTATACAAATTATTTATTTAAACTATACTAATTTATTTAAAAATTAATATTAGCTCTATTATACAATTGCCGGTACAAATAAAAAGTGCACCAACCATCCTAATTCCATTAAAGGGAATGCTTATCAATCATGTCAAATAATTACTCCAAATTTATATCAAACTGGGAGTTTATATATGCAATTCGGAAAATTTAACTCTAATGGTCTAGCCTCTCTCCAATATTTTTCTAATGATGGCCAAATATGTGGCGAAAATGGAAGGGATACTATAATAACATTTACTTGTGACCAGAATACTGAATATTCCGTTACAAAGAAGAGTGAAAATCCTGATTGTACTTACCAATTATCAGTTAGCACTAAATTTGCATGTTTTTCAACTAAACCTCATAATTATCCATCCATTTCTCAAATTTCACCACAAAACTATGGTAACACTGGTGATAAAATCACATTGACTGGCGATTTTTCACATTCAATATTAAACAACCTTGAAGTCTATTTTAAATTTGGCGAAAAAGAACAATTGGCACAAGTTATCTCAAGAAGCACAAGTCAAATTCAAGTAGTAGTTCCAAGTGGTGTTTATTATGATATGGATATTTATACTCGTGATGGTCCATTTAGTATCGGTTATCCAATTTCATTTACAAATGTAAACCCAAACATTAAGTTAGCTTTAATAGGCCAATTCAAAACAAAAGATATAAATAGATTCTATGTTGTCAGAGAAAACTTTTTAACAAAAGCTGTTGTTGATAAAGAAGTATTACCATTCGAGTCAACCAATCAAAATATAATTATTTATTGCGAAACTAAAGCAGTTTGTGGTACCTCAACAAGTAAAATCTCTTCAATCACTTCTCCATCGGCCTATTCTTCGTGTGTAGACTCATCTATTTACAATAGTAATAAGCAATACTTTGACAGTAGTTCATATGATATTTTTATCTGTGTAATGCCATCCAGATCTATAAAAAATGGAAATATTGGATTTTATAACTATCGTCAAATGTATGGTATTTCAACTGTTTCTTACAACTATCAATATCCCACTCCACAAATTATATCTTTTTCTCCACAAAGTGCAAAGATTGGTGATTTTCTTCAATTAATAGGTTCAGATTTCCCACCAACACAAGAGGCTGGTAGTGTAAGCTCTAGCTGGAAAAATTGTTCGATTGTCCTCAAATCTGATTCACAAGTTTTTAATGTTTTAAAT